AGTGAAATTCTCCATTACAGAAGCTGAACAACAAAGAAAAGGTTCTATCAATATCACTGATGATCCTACTATATATAATTCGCTGAGTGTGTCTGTTGGTTTGTCGGTGTGTTTGTGTGTGTCGTATGTAGGTGTGTGTTTGTGCCTTTGTGTATGTTTGACCGGAAATTTATACTCCCGTTCCCGTGGACCTAAAGCGTTAAAATTCGGAAGGAGTACAGGCGGCAGGATGGGAACACCTGTAGTAGGTAGCAGCTTAAGACTCCGCCTACAGGGGGCGGAGCGTGCGTGAAGGAATTCTTCGACAGCGAACTCATAACTCCTGTTTATGTGGATCTAGAGCGTTCAAATTTGGTAGAAGTACAGGCGGCAGGATGGAAACGTCTCGGGCGGGTGACAGGACCAGTATACTCCCACAGGGGGCGTGGTTTGGACAATGTTTGGGCGGGGTTTTGTAACGCCTGTTTCCGTAGACTTGAAGAGTCCGAATTCGGTAGGACGACAACTTTTCGTATTAAAGTGCTAAGGTTCCATTGTTAACGCGATGCGATGGTGCTACAGACCAAGAGATTCCCGCCTTCTATGACTTCTTATTAGCCATTGCCGATTGCTAGCATTTCTCGTCATCTGTAATTTTGAAGTCTCTTCATATCTTGCACCAGTTGCAAGAGTGCCAAGATCCCACTGTTAATTGAAAGGGTTAACGAATCCTGTGTCTGATGCCCTATAAGGTTCCTTATATGCCTATATCAGTTGTTATCACTTTAAATCACCCACCGTCAGCGTTGCCATTCTACCGCGTGCATCCCTTCCGAGTCCTAGCACCCAATGGAACAAGGGTTATGAATTTTTGGTCAAATACAAACACCGACAAACACGCATCAAAAGTGCACCTATAAACCAACACACTTAGCGAATTATCTAAAGTAGGATAAACAACAATCGTGTAAGCAGATAGAGGACGACGAATCATTTCTCATGCTAACGCTTGCTGACTGGTTCGTTTTTAGGAATAACTATCAGTGTGTGAGTATCACTAATTCAGATGTACTACTCGCAAGACTTGCCATATATGGAAGGTGTGTATCGAACTACCACGTCTAACAACAATACAATCGCAGATCGCCTACCAGCCGGTTTAACTAAAATTCTCAAAAGGTACATTGGAGAAAAAACACACGATAATGTTGACAGATCATTGTGGAAGTGATTCCGTAGCGGAATTGTCATTAGCTGCTGAATAAAATAGGTACCCTATGATTTTTGGATTTTACTGAGCAACTTCTGTACTAGTCGCGAAACGCAGACACCTTTCGCCGAACTTTCTGAGGACGAACGTTCTTCTCGAGGCTCGCGCCTCTGCCGAGTGAGAGGTAAAAAAATTATGATTTGTTTGCTCCTGGACGTCAACAAATTAGAATTTCCCTGTCCATGCATAATCCACGAAGGCTAGTGCTATGTTTCACAGATTAAGACGGATGATAGAACAATTTGACACAATATGAGTGATAGGTGGCAGCAATAAGGGCTGATCGTAGTCATTACCATTTAGGAAGGCGATGTTTTACTTATTGATCGCTATCAGATTACGTTGAGTGTGGTGCGTTAGGAACGAAATGGTCGCGTCGCAGTGAGAGGGGCGTCGCGCGCGAAGAAATGTAGCAGGATGCAGCAGTAGGTAAGAAGTACAAGAACAAAAGTACTGATAGTAGAATTATGCATAAAATAATGATCGCACATCGATTGAGCTGTATGAAGAACACTAGAGCTGTTATAACGGCGAATGAGAGGTNCGCGACAGCCGCGTGCGGCAAATCGATTACCCAAAATTGTTCCTAACGCCCGTCTCTCGATTACGTTGACTCTGTTCCAAGTCAATACGTCAATGGTCACGAAATCTACCCAAACATCAATAATGTACGAACTTCTGCTAATTGACTTAAATACACGGATAAAAGAAGGGCAATGGATAAGCACTTCTGATGGTTGTTATCATTATTCCACACCGTTAGCAAGTATTATTAAGACTTATTCAGGACCTGTCGACTAGCAAACTTACGCATTTGTAGAGAGGTCGGGGGAGTGCCTTGACAATTCTGTCAGTCGGAATCCCCATCAATTCCATCCAAATATCTCCAAAGCAGCCAGAATCGGTATGATTTATTATAGTTCCTCTCGATAATGCAAGCGATAGAAATAATATCAACAGAACAATATAGTGCAATAGACCTTCATTAAAGGATTAACATAATTGTCTCGTAATAACTTCATGCATCTGTCTAATCCTCACACCATGCATTTTCTCTACGAATTTCCTCTTCTTCTTCAGGTGAAAAATCGTTCGTGATATTGAACATGGTACGAATTTCTTCAGGAGTCTTTCCCTGCAGAAATCAAAAATGACGGCAACATTGGAAAATTTAGCCAAAATTTTCCTAGAACTAGTTAGCGTCGGCCACAGACTTGATATGGTATGCATTCGACTATACAGTAAAACTTGATATTCTACGCCAATCAATCTTTATATAGTCGAACATACCTATCAGACTGTAGGTCGCAAGCTTCGCCTTTTATGATGTGCTACTGTAAAGTCGAGTCATTAATAGCATAAGGTAATAACACTACGAAAGAATCCAAAGTCGAAAAGGCCATTTGAAATTAGACCTACACTGCTAGACGCATTTTTTAAAGCTGATTTCGAATCTGCATTCAAAATCTGCCAAACGGTTTTTGAACGAAGTTATGGAGGCGGTCTCCGGAGAGCGCTCAACAGGAGAAAGCACAAACGATGTGGTCACCGGTAGTTCATCAGTGTCGGCTTGGATTATGGGAAAACGTGCGCTTGATAGGCATGGGACCAAGGATTGGGTTTGGTGGGGGACGCTGTTTTTCCATTTTGCAGGACATTTAGGGGCTTACACAACTCAGATAATAACATTGAAGTATATTAAGTTATTCGATCATTCGATAGTGATCAATATCGGTTTTCGCGATTGTACAAGTAGCGCGCAGATACCAGCTAAGGGATAAGTGTAGATAGCAAAATCGGAAGGCATACATCATCCGCGAGTTGCGGAAGCACAGGAAACGAAAATACTAAGGCATCTCACCCTTAGCCATTTGGGTTACAGTACAGGTCGATGTACTCTGCCTGACACAAATTTTTGCTTTCAAAACATGAATAGTGTATAATGAAACATATCCAAAAAAGAATTTTCGCCTCCGGGCTGCTAACCATACACTTGAACGCATTCTATAGTTACACCAGGGAAAAACAGCGTTAAGTCGCGAGATTGGATTGCACAAGGCAAGCGCTTTTTCTCAAATACAAAAGAATATCGTCAGCTGTAGGTGTCGCGTATCCTTGAGCATTACAAAGAAACCAAATGATTAAGATAATGAAACTAGCCTTCATCATCAGGGCGATCTTCCTGCATCCGTCGTCGAGCAATTTTGGAATATCCAGATAGTTAGCGGCCTAAACTCACTGATTTATGAATAAATGTCTTGTTTCTTTTCAATGATGTCGAAAGGTACCATTATGATTTCAAATAACACGGGATACTCCACTTTGAAAAATTCTTCGGACCACGTTTCCAACAACTGCTTGCCTTCTTTCTCGTGTGTTTTCTGCTTTTCACACCAAGCCAACACCTTAACTACATTATAAAAGAAGCAATAAACTAAATCAGTAACCGACACATTAGTACAGAGTACAAACTTATACAGTAGAGAACTTATAATACACCAGCTGGCTCTCCCCTGCTGCTAGAATTGGCTCGCTGCCTGACCCTTTTCATATTTGGTTTAGAACAACAGGACCCATAGATTTCCAGATAAACACATACACACACCGACACACACACCAGACACACACACACATACATGCACACACACATACACGCGCACCCCCGACACTTCGTGCTTCCCAGCCCAGTGGAGAGTGAGCGGATTCCTGCTCAAGTCCAGTGTGTTTAGGTAATTCAGTTCATTCCCTTCATTCCCCTCTTTTTCCAACTCTGCTGCGTAAATTAACTCAAATTACGCTCATTTTACGCACGCTCTGCCCCTCCATCCCGTCCCTCGTAATACGGATGCAGCCCAGCTCGATCACTTCCTACTACATATCAGATACTCCTGCCAGTTTGAACGCTTTAGGTCAAAATCACGAATTTTCGTGCACGCCCCGCCCCTTTGGGCGGAGTTTAGTCCTGTCGCCTACCATCAGTATTCCANAATCTTGTAGAATTTGCACATCGCCCTCATCAGAGGCCTTGATCTCATTGTGAATTCTGATCCGCCGGTGTGATAGGCGAGTAATGGTGGTTTAGAAAGGTGATTATTGCAGCCACCAATTTTTGCGCGTAAATTGCCTCGTGCGTCTCCCAATACAGCAATGTGCCCCCATACCCGTAGAAATAAATGCGACCGTCTTGATTCGGGAGATATGCAGGTATTGCATTAAAAAGCATGAATGACAAGGGAACGACCATTTTTAAATAGTGGATGACAAATTTGATAGTCACGAGATTAAAACCAGTCATCAATATTAATAATCAAAAGTCAGCATTAAGAATATCACCTTTTTAAACACTGGAGCTGTAACGTTTGGAATTGGAATGGGAGCATCATCATCTTGGAGATTCAAATCCTAAAAATAGAAGTTTTGAATTGGGATGTAGTTCTATTCAAAGTATGACAGACCTCGAGCATAGTAGTCACCAACTTGGACATGCCGATAATAGAAGCGGGGACTTCACAGATTTCTTGCTCCTTTGTTTGAACCTTATAAATCTTCTCGGCAGTAGAGGTATTTTGGCTCTCAGTATTCTCTGTGGTCTTTGTAGATTCCATCTACAAGCAGCTGGATATTTTTGTGAAACCTGTGAACGGCTGCTTTCATAATTCGCGATTTGGCCCGCGAGCGCGCCGGCCGGGGCGGCGCTTGCCCCTTGACTGTTTCAACTGATTGTGTATAAAAGGAACTGTATTCAATAGNGCCTTTCACATGTAATTATTCTATTAATCATTTATTTTCATCACAATCATCATCATTTTCTGAGCAAATAGCCTTCCTTACAATCCAACCCAATCCAAAAAAAGAATGGTGAGTAACAACCTATTTCGAAATGTTTCACAACGAACAGCTGTGAGAAGGCGAACAGATGACTGTGCTAACCCCACCGTCACAGGTTGCTTTCAGATTCAACGATCCAACCGACGTGCGTGCGTCCGTCCGACCGTCCGTCGTCTGCGTGCGAGCAACAGCGGCGCTAGCCGCTTGTTGACAACGCTGGACGCCGATGGAATCCGTCCCAGCGCTGTCAACAAGTGGCTAGCGCCGCCGACGCTCGCACGCACGCGAGGGATGGACGGGCGGACGCAGTCGGTTGAATCGTGCAAGTCTGAAAGTAGCCGTACAGAAACGAACATTCAGTATTACACGTTAGTCTTACAGAAACCGACCGAAAAATGAATTTCGCAAACAAGATATTTCCTTTTAGGGCCTTAAATACACAAATCTTCAACGGTCGCTACCCGTCGCGTCGAAAAGAGACCCTCGGCGAAGACACGAGCCTGGCAGAAAGGTAACTGGGGGATCAGCACGCATCATTAATTCGAGCCAGGATCCACAGCCGGGATTACTGAAGGACTAGCGTGCAGTACTGAATTTTTATTTTTGTCAGCCAGGTGAACACTCCACGCGAATCAGGTTTGCATTGTATGGTATGACGAGAAGAGAGGAAATAGAAAAGACGGGTCCAGATGTGGAGCTTTGAGCTGGCAATCGACAAAATATTGGAAATAGCATGTGCTAAAAGTAAAAGGCTAACAGACTATTCGTACCGAAACCAACAATGCGGTATTGGATAAGTAATAACGAAAAATTTACGGAATCGAAAGCTCCGGCAAAATATTTTGAAAGCATTAGTTTTAGGAAACGACGAGGACAAGGACGCGTACGCAAACGCTGGAACAAGATGTGGCCTGCGTGTCACATTGATTAGTCGATTACGAAATGGCTACGACTTATGCGCAAAGTGTGAACGCTGCCCACTGTACCGTTTTCAAAAAAAAGGAAACGTGGTTCTGATAAAACGTGAAATCGTGGAATTTCGAGACATCTGTCGAGCGATTTTACAGTTCAACGACACACGATTATTCGAATAACTGTTTTTGGGGGATTCAACTTCTTCGCGAAATTCAAGTTCACTTCGTGACAGTGAATACTACTATTTCAGGAGTTTGCGTTTCACCCTTTCTCGTCGTCAGCACGTAGTGGGTATAGGAAACAATACATTGAACAAGAGGACAGCGCTAAGCCTTTCTGAGCACTAACCATAAGTATAGATCACCGGTTAAAATCCGTAAGTAGATGATGGCAATGTATCCAAACGCTAATTGGGACGGAACTTGTACCGATGACAGGCTGAATGCTCAATCCTGAATCTTAAAATGACTTCAAGTGATTGAATGATTGTTTCCGTAACAGTCCCATAAGAGCTGGACGCATAAGAACTGCAGGCATTCATTAAAAAGATCACATTCGCGTAGTAGAATTTTCGCGAAAAATGGACTAGCAAGTGTGGAATAGAATAGAATAGTTTGGAATAGTGATGGAAAGCTCGGCAAAACATTAACATTAATAAGAAACAAAGCAATTCAGTTCACCCGCCCAACTCATTTGATCCGGAGGTGGCTGGTGACAAGCTTTGATGACTACACAAAGTATCATTAAAAAACTGAAGCCTAGTCCAACAATTTTTCGTAAAAATCGCGGAAAGTGAGAGTGCAGACAGGCACGACGAGTAGACCATGGCAATAAGACACAGTCAGTACGCTGCCATGTTCGTGGCGGGACCGAATTGCCTGAGTTGCGTTTTGGGTGCATTCATACTGCCGGGGGGACGAGCACTACGTGCGTCCGAAGATGCGCGCGGCATCTTGCGCGGCGAACCTCGTGACGATTTGTACGACTCTGGCGCCAACTTTCGAGGCACAAACTTGAAGTAGAATAGTTTAGTAGGATCAGATGATCCTTCTAATCTACTCTACTTTTTATTTGGACCCCATTGATAGGCGCTAAAGTCGTTCAAATCGTTACGAACTTTGCCACGCGTCC